TCCGATCGGTGCCACTCTTAGCGTGGCTTCAACTCTTTTTTGCCCTCTATTTTTGCATCGATCGTTTCAAAATGAGGTGCATGTCATTCAAACCGCGTTGAAATCTCCCCGATTAGCGATATGTGTGTCGTTTAGGGGCGGCGATGTCTACCTAATAGCTAACAAGCTCGTGAGCGACCAGATTCTTCCTCATTACTGGTTGACGAGAATTTGGATATCTGACGTAGAGTGGATCTTCCAATTAGTCAGTTAACAAAGTCACACCGACGAAGACGCATTATGGACATTTTTGTATTCGATGTAATTCAGCCGTGTTTGTGATTACGAGCAAGTACTGCCAGTTTTGTAGGAGGATAAAAGCCCCATATTTCAGGCCATTTTTGCTGACTCTTTCCATGCAACTGAGAAACTATATTACCCTCAGATTGGATTGCTTAGGTGCACAGGCAGTTGCCAATGAGCGTGGCTGCTTTAAAAAAAAGAAAAAAAAAACAACCCGAATGAGACGGAACTGTTAGCCGGTTTAGCCTTGTCAATACCTGCGTCCGATCCCGTCTTCAGCCGTTCTGACTCTGTTTTGACAACCAGCCCAGGAAGGTGAGGGAGGAAATAGTACGGCAGGTGCTGCGCAAATCTGTTATAATTATAGAATAGTTCACACACAATTGACTGTTTGGTGCCCATTACGTTGTTGGACCCATGGTAGACGCCGTCGTTAGTGGCGTTTGATCAGACTGCGCAGGTCCTCTCGGAGTCCATGCCTGATATCGAAAACTTCTTCACTCAGCGCGTGTTGACTATCTCGGCACCCAATTCGTTCGTCACTATTTTCACACTTGACCCAAAGGAGTTCAATCGTCACCCCACCATCGCCGTCAACGGTGTGTCCGTTAGCTGAAACTCCTTGGCATCTGTTTCGATCAACTCTTCACGTTTGCGGACCATGCAAGGGAGGTCGCAAGCAAAGTGAGCCGCTGTACCAAGGTCCTCAAGGCTCTTGCAGGCGCATCCTGGGGCTGTGCGAAAGAGATGCTGGCGACCACATTCAAAGCGCC